TGTCCTGGATTCCCTTTATTATTTTTCAAACACCCACACACATACATGTGTACACACATGTACCGATACACACAGTGGGCAAGGGGCCAATGATTATGGTTGGGGGGGGCATGGGAAGCAGGGAACAGATAGATGACCCTTTTCTACTCTATTTAGCTCAGCACCTCCTTTCAGAGATCAGGATACTACCTGTAGCTCAGGAACTCTTGGTCAAGAGCTAATATCACCTCTGCTTCCCTCTGCATGCTTGACAGTACCAAACAAGGCCAGGAGGTGGGGAAGGGAGGGAGCCAGAGACTAGGAGAGGTGCAGCTGAGGGATTCCCACAGGACAAGAGGGCAGAACTATTGCTATTGCTCACTGGGGTTCGAGTTGGCATCTCGGGACTTGGTGAGGTATAAGGTGAGGACTTTAATGATTGTACCTTACTTGGTATAGACTCTAACAAGGCTCTTGGCAGCCTGGAAGTTACAAGTCCTGTTCCCTGATGTAATTTGCCACCTTGCCAATGTTTGTATTATCCAGGGCAGCATCGATTTCACCCAGGACTAAGAAGAGGGCTGGCTTGTAGCTCTGGTTGGCAAAGAGCAGATCACAGCTGCTACTGTTCATTCTCTCCCTGACAAGTTATCTATAGGTCAGAAGTGTTTGCCAGCAGCTACACGGCTAATAGTTGATGCCATCTAAGTAGGGCTCCTCAGGGTTCTAAGGGACAAGGCCTTATAAATGCCATCAATGTTGGTGGCTACAAATTCAAAACAAACATTGAAGCGCTCAGAGTGTCCCTTCCTGACCTGCTCAAATGCCCGCTCAGCCTTCTTGGCTCACTTCTGGGCTGCCTCAATCTTAGCTGTGGTGGTCTGCAGCTTGATCTCCTCCTTAGTCCGCTGCTGCTCCCCCTGCACTGTTTTACAGAGCTTCTTCTTTCTCTCCTTCAGCTCATCCTCTACCTGTCCACACACCTCTTGTCCTCAACTTCCTCATTCTTAAAGGCCAGTTCCTTGTTGAGTTTCTCAATTTCTACCTCACAGTGGTAAAGCTTTCTTACTGCAGCTGTACCTAGCTTGCACCACTTCATCCTTTAGGCGCTGGTAGCAGACAGCCTCTTCCTTCTTCTGTGTGGCCTCCTTGCATTCTGCTGCAATGTGTTTCTTATGATGGTAATTAAACTGAGTATTCTCTCTTGCTGTCACCACTTCCTTCTTTCACCTGTCATACTCCTGTGCCAAATCCCCAGAGCAACTTATCTGTTCAAATAGAGCTGTCCTTTTAAGGGGTCTTCCTGGCTGCAAACTCCCCAACCCCCTGGCAGGCAAGGCTGTTATAAGCTTGAATAGGAATGCTCAACCGCTCCAATTCCTCACTGTGCTCACATAGCTGGGCCACTTTGTAGATCATCTTGTGCTCAGAAGAACCCTCAACAAAGACGGACAAAGGTGTGGTCCTCCGCACGTTTCTCAGAGTAGACCCTGCTGACAAAAGCCCTGTTAGCAGCTGGCTCCTCTACAGGAGCTCCATGCAGTCCTTACTCACAGAACGCAGGTCTTTTCACCCGCACACAGCTGATGGCATCCCTGAGATTTGATGTTGTGGAGCCTTAGGTCTAATGATGGCCGTGAACCTCTGAAATGGTCTGATGATCTATTACCCCTCGTATGACTTAAAATTCTCAATCTCAATCAGTTTCAGGAAACCCATGGCTGCAGTGGCAAGGCCAATAGTGCTGAGAGGCTAGGTTGTGCATCCAGGAACCTCTCTTTACGTTTCAATCTCCCAATTCTGTTAGGATTCATGATGAACTGACAGACCTTTGCTATTTCCATTTAAAAGCTAAGCTGAATCTATACACATCTAGAGGGAAAGACTCGGCTGACAATATCTGTAATCTGAAAGGAAACTGCACCTCCTAGCAGAAAGAACAATAGGAGAACTAGAAGGCCTAGCACACACCAGATTACTCCAGGAAACCCCTTGCCCTAAACTAGAAGTATAAAACACTCCCCAACCTGATGCTTGAGCCTGGTGGCAGAGAGATTACACATTGGCCTGCTAACCTTGAGGTCAGCTGTTGAAACCACCAGTCACCCCAGAGGAGAAAAATGAGGCTTTCTACTCCTTTAAGACGCACAATCTCAAAAATACACAGGGACAGTTCTATACTCTTATAGGGTCCCTTAAAGGCAACTCAATGGCAGTGAATGGTTTTTTTGACCTGCTGCTTGGTGACGTAGATTTTGATGGATTCATTCAGTCTGGCTTCTGAACTCACTGTCATTGAATTTAATGTGACTCACAGTGAGCCTACAGGACAGGGTAGGACTGCTCCTGTAGGCTTCTGAGAATGTAACTCTATCGGAGTAGCAAGCCTCATTTTTCTCCCATGGCGTGGCTGGTGATTTTGAATTGACCTTGAGTTTAGCAAGCTGTAACCACTATGCCACCAGGGCTCCTTCTGGGTACTAGTATTCAATAAATATTTTCACTCTCCCTTCTGTTCATCTCATGAATTGTCTTAAGAGTGACAGGCTGCCCATATCATGCACTTTTCATGAATACTATGAGTCAGAGTTGGCTCAATGACAGCAAGTATGCCTGTGGTTATAATCCCATAGGGGACTGGCTGTCTTTGTTGTGTCAATCAGGTAGGATTAGTGCAGTGTGTATCTTAAATCAATCTTTTATAAGATAAGAGATTAAAGAAGGAACCGGAGAGGAAGAGAAATGCCAAGGCACATGAAAATTAGGCATCACAAAACAACTACCTTTTTCAGCACCAAAGGCAGTGAGGTCTCTCGTGGTGAACCCTCCACGTTCTCAGCACTTTCTGGCACTGCTGACTTGTTCATGATCATGGTCATAAAGATGTCATATTTCAGCAGCTGCCTCAGCAAACCTAGAAAGCAAAGGAGTAGGATAGTGAGGCAAGAAGAGCACAGGCAGCAGGGTACATCTGGGGTAGCTCTGCAGACAACCCTAGAGACACTGCAGGAAGAACACTTAAAATCCTTAAGCACCAGTTTGCTTTCTGCAACCCAGCTCCCTTCCACAGGCTCTAGTGGGAAACTCTAGGCGCCTGGCATAAGAATCTAAAAGTTCAAGAGGGAGGGGAGAAAGGGGAGCTGATATCAAGGAGCGTAAAAGGAAAGAAAATGTTTTGAAACTGACCGTGGTAGCAATTGTACGATTCTGCTTGATGTGATTGAACTATGGAATGTTATGATATCTGTAAGAACTCCCAATAAAATGATAAAAAATTTTTACAAACCATTTACAAAGCAAACTTTAAATAAAAGTTACAATAGTAAACTAGATGAGCAGAGCCCCTAGTCACCCCACTAGTTTCATGATGGCAAGGATCAGCTACCCATCACCTGGGACAGTCCTAGAACAAAGCAGAAACTCAATAAATAGCTTCTGATGGACAAGCATACACTCTTGTGGGAAAAGAGCCATACAGACAATCCCTTGTCTTTGTGATGAAGGCTACAAATGAAGACCACCCAGATACAAGAAGATCAGACCTAGTGCAGAGGGGCAGTAAGCTTTCCATGAACAAGTGGGGTTTAGGCCAAACCTTAAGGACACACAACTCGGGGAGGAGACAAGCCAATCAGGGTGCAGTATAGCACTGATGAAACGTATAACTTTCCTCTAGTTCTTTAATGCTTCCTCCCCCCACATTATCATGACCCCAATTCTACCTTACAAATCTGGCTAGACCAGAGCAAGTACACTGACTGGTACAGATAAGAGCTGGAAACACAGGGAATCAAGGACAGATAAATCCCTCAGGACCAATAATGAATGTAGTGATACCAGGAGGGTAAGGGGAAAGTGAGGGAGAAAAGGGCAACTGATCATGATGATCTACATATAACCCCCTCCTTGGGGGATGGACAACAGAAAAGTGGGTGAAGGGAGATAGCAGGTAGTGTAAGACATGAAAAAACAATAATTTATAAATTATCAAGGGTTCATGAGGGAGGAAGGGTGGAGAAGGGGGGAAATGAGCTGATAACAAGCGTTCAAGTAGAAAGAAAATGTTCTGAAAATGATGATGGCAACATATGTACAAATGTGCTTGACACAATGGATTGTGTCAAGAGCTATAAGAGCCCCCCAATAAAATGATTTTTTAAAAAAAAAGAAAAATCAACCATTTAAGATCAAAAGGACAGGGAGAAAGGGAGAACCAATGGCATTGATCAATGTACAACCCCCCCCAGGGGGACAAACGACAAAAATGTGAGTGAAGGGAGACGGCAGAAGGTATAAAATATGAAAATAAAAATATAAATTACCTAGGGTTCACGAGGATAGGAGGGAGGAGGGGGAAGAGGCACTGATACCAAGGGCTCAAGTAGAAAGAAAATGTTTGGGAAATGTTGATGGCAACATATGTACAAATGTTCTTGATACAATTGATTTTATGGATTGTTATAAGAGCTGTAAGAGCCCCAAATAAAATGATCTATTACAATTTTTTAAAAAGATCAAAAGGACAGCATTTAACTATGGATAAAATTCACAGAGTTAGGAAAAAGAATGAAAACAGAAAAACCCAGGGAAGACGTGGGATAAGTGATGGTACATTGAAAGGACTGCAATGGATGAGTTAAACAAAATATGTATGAGTTGTTGACTGTAAAACGGATGAACTGCTCTACAAAACGTTTATTAAATTCACAATTAGAACATTGTTTAAGGGACTTCCAAGTATCAGTAGCTGAGCTGTCTTTCCCTCTGCTTTGCTACCCAGGACCTCACCTGTGGGTACTTACTTGCCCCCTTTATGCTCTAAGTCAAGTACTATTCTGTTCCAAGTTACCGGCCTTGCTTCCTACCTTGTGGGGAGAAGTCAGATGCGCAGGCATTCCCCCCTGAAGGCAATCAGTTGCCAGACTGCTGTCTCATCCCTCCACAGGGGTGGGCCTGCTCCCTGCCTCTGGGGACAATGGACAGGCTCCTGTAGGAGGGGTTTGCACCCTACTGATAATGTTCCTATGGAGACCCAGAGACCAACCCCTAGACCACACACTCATTGCTGTGTAACCTATAGTGCAGCCCCTTCCTGTGATGTATGTCTTTACCTGTAATTAGTGGGCTGGATTACCCCCAAAAGGTATATAGGTGTGAGTCAGCAGGACTTCTCGCTCTGACTCTGAGCTCCTTACTGCTCACTCCCTGGTCACTCCCCTCTCCCTTGTTCCCTTCCCCTCCTTCCCTTCCCCCTCTCCACGTGGACCACCAAGCTGGGCTGAGGTGAGCAATGTTGCTATGTATCACGCCTGACTGTATTATTGTATTATCTCTCATGCTCTCGATGACTTTAATATAATACTTATATATGACTTTAATATAATACTTATATATCTCAACCGTACAATTGTGCATTACTGAACCCAGAAGTAGTATTACTGAACCAGTGAGTTCAAGCAGCGGGTGGGGGCTGGTCCCCTCACCCTCCCTCAGCGTCAATTATTAATTTTATATTTAATACTACACTACCTCATGCTTTAGCCATGTTGCTCCCTTCCTCCCTTTCCTAGACAACACTTACTCACATTAAGGACTCAACCCCAGCATCCTTTAGGAAGCCTCTTTTGCTCAATGCTCCCACTCTCTCTATGTAACTTCTGTGACAGCTCTTATGTAACTTCACTAACAGTCTGCTTCCTCTATATCTTCCACACTCAGCTGTAAGTTCCCCAATATAGACTTGTGAGTCTAGCAGCCTAGCCAAAAATCTATGGTCATTATTGTTCCTGGCCAAGTCATAGAAAAAGCTTTTGTCACCTGTATACTCCTTTTCTGGAATAGGCCCTCACATATTCACCAATCACAGTGCCCACCTGCTGTGTCCAGAATACAAAAGCCCCTGCTCGGAGCATTTGATAGATCGTGCGTACTCATGTAAGGAGATAGCATGAAAAAGGTTGGTTGGAAGGTCTGGGTGGGGTTTTTTGGGAAGAGTTTTGGAATAGCTGGTTTTTCAGAAGTACATTGTCAGGACTTTCTTCTGAGGCACCTTGTGGGTGAAGTCAAACCATCAACCTTTTGGTTAGTAGCTGAGCACATAACAGTTGACATCATCCAAGAACTCCAAGTCCTAAAGCAAAAATCCCCACCAAGTTTTCTCCGCCTTCTTCTCCAGCCCAGTCTTACCCAAACAGTTGATCTGTAGCTCCTTTGTCTGGGCACCATCCAGGGTGGAAAGGATGAAGGGACACAGCTTCTCCCGGAAATGGCCTGAAAGCTTCTCGGCTGCCACTGGTGCTGCATACAGCTTCCCATAGATGTAACAGACGGAAGCCTGCACCCCCTCGTTGGGGTATAGCAGACCTCTCAACAGATGTTCCAGCAGATTGCCTGTCCAGAAAACAATCCAGGGATGGGGGTTGTCTCACAATGCCAACTCCTATATGAAACCCCAGGCTCTTCTCCCAGTGGGGCAGCACTGGTAACCCCCTACATTTGTGTAGCCCCAGACACTGGAAAGAAATTTCTTCTCAATTGTCATCTTCAATTGACCTATACAAAACCTAGCCACAATAATGCTTTCTGGGCACTTAATCAAAAGGGAGCCCAAAGTTTAGAGAAGTGATTTACCCTTGGGTAAACCCTCAGGGAGGTATTTATTTGATTATAATGGCAGTGGAAAAAATTAGGATCCAAAATCAATTCCTCCTTTCGAACTCAAAGAAAGGTTATTAACACGTGCTTAATTAATTCAAGTTTAAAAAAATGAATGGGAATAGCACAACCCAAGCCCTTTTTCATACTGACCAACAGAGAACAGATTTTACAGATGGGAAACTGAGGCCTAGGGGAGGCATTCCCAGTGAATGGGCCCCCCATATCAAGAGTGATCAAAGTAGGCCAAAGTATCACAGCAGCTCTTCCCACAGTTAGTCACTCACCATGCTCTGTGACAAGCTTGTCTGCCAGAGCCGGGATGGCATCTACCAACTTGCCAAGAAGGGTCAGGGTAGCCAGGCTGCCTCGCATGGAGGGCAGGTTACACAGCTGCAGAAAGAGAACACACTCCACCTGTAAATCAGGATCAGGGTAGATCCCACCCAGATGTACTTACCTACCCTCACCAACAACCTTCACCTCTCACCACTTCAGCCTCTGCAGCTGAGTAAATGTCCATTTCCACTGAGAACTCCTGGAGGACAGGGACTAAGTCTGAATCCTCTCAAAGTCTTCAGTTCTAGCTCAGTACATGTTTGCTCAGCTGAATTAAACTTCTATTTTGCCTCCTACTGAGGCAGAAATGGGAAGGTAAAAGTTGGGAATGTCAAAGATTGAATGCTGGTTCCATGCAAAAATTTGTATCACTGCTGCTGCTATTACTACTATTAATACTGAATATTCTCTATGCACCACGCAATAGCTTGATGCTTTACAGGTAATGTCACCAGGAGTTGTTTTATAGCTCACTTTTTCCACTGACTCCTTATAGCACTTTGGGCAAGACTCAACAACGCTAGCTGGAAATTTGATAGTTCCAATTTCCTAAGGTTATTGGAAGGGCTGAATATGTTGCATGTAAAGTACCTCACATAAGTGGCTAGCATCTAGAAAGTGCTTCAGGAATGTTAGGAGACATCATTCTCATAGTAAGTATTGATGGGTAGATAACTCTAAATTCAATAAGATATATTAGTCACCTACACAGTAATTATGGTATGTTAACATTAATGGTCAGGTGTGGGGGGAGGTCAGATGCGCAGGCATTCCCTCCCCTGAAGGCAATCAGTTGCCAGACTGCTGTCTCATCCCACCACAGGGGTGGGCCTGCTCCCTG